TTCTCTGCCTTGCCCTTCTCCGCCTTGCCCTTCTCACCCTTCTTCGGTGCCATGGCAAGAGTTTCTGCACCCAACAGTCTGGTCACTGCCCGACCCTGGGAGCCGGCAAAAGGCCAATGAGCAAAAATTGAACACAGTAATTATGGCACCAGCATCCACTTGCGACACAGCGGGTTGAGGGTGAATTTTGGACCACGGGGACGGAACATGTTCTAAAAGCTAAACCAACCTGCCTAACCTTCCTGTTTGGGCCTTGCTGTGAGCACACTGACCAACGAAGTGTCTATATATTCCACACCTACAGAAATGATGAGGACATGTTTGTTGCTTTGCTGCACCCTCTGTGTTCCATTTTGCGGTTCAAGGCGACCGTCATGACAAGATGACCGGGCTCAAATGATGCCAATGCGATTGGCCACGTCCAAGGCATCATAGTCTTGAGTCAAACGCACGTATGCCTTCTTCTTCCTGAGTCAAAAGGTATGCACCATTGAAGAAACGCGTTGAATTCAAGGGTCCCTATGAACCCGTGGTCATGGCAGCCTTTCGAATCCTGCAGCATTCATACAGCGAATGTGCATGTATTATTGCATGCCTAGGCACCCATCAGGTCGAATGAGGGTGTTCACCTTGGCACACTTCACGTCATAGAGCTGTTTCACAGCTTCCTTGATCTTGGGCTTGGTGGCCTTAAGGTCTACCAAAAACACCAACGTGTTGATCTCCTCGATCTTCTTCATGGCAGATTCCGTAGTCACAGGGCACTGGATGATGCGGTACTTGTCCAACTTGTCCCCGCGAGATTCCACAGACTTTCGAGGATACTTGGGTTCTCTAGATTTGATCAAGGTCTTTGGCCGATAGAAGCGGACCTTGGTACGGATCTTCTTCACCTTCTTGCTCACGCCGCCCTTGACAGCCTTCGCGGTCTTCTCCGCCTTCTCTGCCTTGCCCTTCTCCGCCTTGCCCTTCTCACCCTTCTTCGGCGCCATCGAGCTAAGAGCACGGCCTTCCCTTGTTCGGCCGACTAGAGCCGCAAACTCCGCTTAAGGTAGCGCAGCTGACGCGGGTAGGTTCTTTTTAGGAAGAAGTTCGACCTCTGCTAGTAGGGTTCCTGTCAACTTTGATGCCCCATGTCACCTTCCTTGCCGACCAGAACCAAAAGGCATCTTATCCTGTCGCGCTCTCTGTGCAAGTGCATTTTTGAACTACACCAGGCCCTCGGTTAATCTGTCCAAGGTCTGCACACACTCAGCTGTTGGTCGTGCCATTCTTCCGCTATGTTTCCACTCTCCTCAGCCTCAACAAGCAAAATCTCGTGCTCTCTTGCACTTTCAAATTTCCAGGGGCAACAAAATTGAATCAAATGATGCTTCAAAATCTTGAATTGGCCAGAACACACGTCGACTTGCGACCCTCTGATCCCACAATTTCTCACAGCTCATTGAATGAAACAAGCAAGAAACATCAGTGTACGATCTGCGGTTAAAATCAACCTGTCTTGCTTCTTGTTTCTTGCGCTTCTCTATGTTGTCAATTCCGCAAGTCCAAGTAAAGAGATGTTCCTTCTCAGAAACTCCCAGCCTCCACTCTGAGCTCACCAATCTCTGGCAAGTCCTGGGCAAAGCCGCGGGCGCCGCTCCTTTTCAACCTCCACTAGGACATGCGTGCTTACCGAGGCTGCTAGGCCACCTGAAGTGTCTCACTGTGTCCACTGACTTGTTCCACAACAGTTTCCAAAATGGACAGAACAGGAACATCCTTCAAACACGCAATTGCCCTGGCGGCCAGGCCTTGGCGAGTTCAGCTTGTAACGGCGGCTCATCTGTTTTTCGGGCGACGGATGTGAAGGTCCGCATGGGCTGAGGAGAGGAGGCTAAACCAACTGTTGGTGGATGTGAAGGATGTGGCATCGCGGCATCGGCTTGCCATCAAAAACATCAGCTTACAAACATCCGAGAGTCTCAGATTGTACCAGGCCCTGTGCCTGCCACAGTGGGGCCGTGGCGTTGCTTGCGGCGCTCCCGGTAGCCTTACGGCGCCCTACCCCGCAAACATGTTGGGACCGGGTTGAATCCATGGAGCTTCACACATGAATTTGTAGAAGGTGTTGGATAGAAGGCAGCCTGCTAGCCGCTAGCCCAACCGGGAACCGCCAAGGTGAGTATGCAGGCGTTAGCATTTTGTGTACAAGGCTACTCGGGTCGGGGTTTCTTTCTCAGAGTGGGAGCGGTGGACCCAGCTATAAATATAAACAAGGATGCTACAGGGGCTCCTGGCCCTACTGCTAGGAGTACAGGACGCTACTAGGGGCTCCTGGCCCTGCCACTGGGAGCAAAGGACGCTACTAGGGGTTCCTTGCCCTACTGCTAGGAGTAAATGACGCTACTAGGGGCTCCTGGCCCTACTGCTAGGAGTAAAGGACGCT